GTTGAAATAGTAAATTGGCCACCGTAAAGAGTTAAAAAAGTTGACGTTTCGAGCGTAAGGCCTTCGTCAGACTTCTTGATCTCGCCATCTTAGTTGATATAACCAAATTACCATCGAAATGTGGTTTGTTTAAGGGTTCACTCAGTGGATGAGTGTGTGCGTGAGTACCGTTATTTGACCAACAGAGATATCTACTTGACTTCACAGTCACACAATAGGTTTTTTAAGCCCAGATGAAAAGGGATCGTGTCTCCCGCATAAAACGTGTTTTAGATAGCAAGTTAGGATATGTGTCGTGGGAAGAAAATTCTTTCAAAGGACAAAATTCTTACCAGCTCTTACGGCAGCATTCTCTAAGATGACTCGGTTATAAATGAAGCGGATGTATTTTGAAGGATTCTGGCTGCGCGGTCCTTCACGCCCCAAGAGATGCAGGATTCTTGTGGCAAGGACCGTGTGTTCGCAGTCTTCAATGAACTCACACAGATGACCAAGTCCTGCAGGAAAAAAAAAACCCATAGGTTAAAAAAATTGACTTTAGAACCTCTAGCAGCAATATGCAAATTCCTCCACGTTCAAACAGAAAAGTGTTTCGAGTAACTATGCTATTTAAATGAGGAAACTTGTAACTGCGGACATACTGGAAATAACATCATACTCCAGTTCTTCAAGCTGGGACCTTTGGTCGCCAAGACGGGTAGACACAAATTTTGGCGACTAAATTTGCAGCGCCAGTTGGTGAGGGTGTCGTTTTGGCGGGAAAAAGAACCCCGTTGAAAGTGAAATTCAAATTATCTATTTGCCTTTTTACCCTATATATAAAAAATTTATCGATAGTTCAATGTACGGCGAGGTGACCTTTCGAAACCACCTGGCTTTTAGCTGAGGCCACCTCGTACGTAACAATAAGCTTACATAAATAGTGCATGAATAAATTTGAGAGCATACAAGCGATATATGTTAGCTACAGTTAACATTTCCAAGATATTAAGTAGAGGCAGTGCACTATCGGTATTTTTGTCAGATAGAGTTGCAAAGAACATTAACCTAATAACATGATTTTGCTTTGTTTGTATTTTATGTAAATTTGTCTTGCTGGTGCTGCCCCAGGCAACAATAGCGAACGAAATGTAAGGATAGATAAGATTATAAGAGATCTGCGTAAGTCGTTTGAGAGGTAGATAATGCCTCAACTTAGAGATTACTCCTGCATTCCGTGAAAGCTTGGTGCACGCATATGAGATGTGATATTTCCGTGTTAAAGCACTATCGATCATTACTCCTAAATATTTAATGTGGTCCTTCCGTTCTAAGGAGGGGCATGATCCATCTCGGTTAGTTATCTTTATATTAACATTCATGTTCTTTTTCCTTGGGGATTTTACAATCATGTAATTGGTTTTCTTTAAATGGCAGATCTTGGATCTGAGCCCGCGTAAAAGAGGTTTTGTTTAAGGATGCACGGAATCGAGGCACTTGGGTCAAAGGCTTGGTGAATTCTCAAAGGTATCACTGTATATTTCAAAACAACTCGCATTTTACGCTTTTTTCACTTTTATCGACAATCTGAAGCATTCAAAAGGTAAAGATAACAATGGTAAGACATTGTATTGCATTCGAATGCAACAACCGGAGCGATAAACCACATTGCAAGCATCTTTCGTGGCATTCACTGCCACTGAACAACAAGAAACTTCTGGCGACTTGGCTGGTCAAGATCAAACGGGAAAACACGCCCGTGAGTAAAAATTCCTTTTATACAGTGAACAGTTTGAAAAGAAATGCTTTTCCAAGTCATATTCTGGCCGGAAAGTCATCATCAATCGAAAGTCTTTCCTTCGGAGCCTTCCTTTTGGTTTTCTGTTCGGAGAAACTGAATATTTTCGGAACTGAGTCTGACTTAGGACTTACTTTCCGGCCAGCATATGACTTGGAAAAGCCTTACTTTTCAAAATGTTCACTGTATAAAAGGAATTTTTACTTACGGGCGTGTTTTCCCGTTTGATCTTGACTAGCCAAGTCGCCAGAAGTTTCTTGTTGTTCAGTTGCAGCGAATGCCACGAAAGATGCTTGCAATGTGGTTTATCGCTCAGGTTGTTACATCTGAATGCAATACAATGTCTAACCATTGCTATCTTTGCCTTTTGAATGCTTCAGATTGTCGATAAAAGTAAAAAATAGCGGAAAATGCGAGTTGTTTTGAAATATACAGTGATACCTTGTAGAATTTACAAAGCCTTTGGCCCAAGTGCCTCGATTCCATGCACCTTTAAACAAAACCGCTTTTACGCGGGCTAAGATCTAATATCTGCCATTTACTGATAGCTTGTTTATGTCGCACCATTCCTTGACTTTTTTTAGTTCTAAATTCATTTGCATTTCTAATGATTGTATATCTTTTGCAGAAGCAAACAAGTTAGTATCGTCCGCAAAAATCTTAAATGAAAGGAACTCAGAGCAATTAGGGAGGTCGTTAATGTATATCAAGAATAGAAAAGGGCCTAACAAACTACCTTGAGGGACACCACAGACCATAGTTTGATAGGACGACTAAGTATCACTTAAGGCAACGTATTGTTTCCTGTTTGTAAGATAACATTCAAACCAGGCCAGCGGTAACCCTCTTATTCCATATGATTCTAATTTCTTAAGGAGAACACTATGATTGACCATTTATTGAGGACGCTGGTTGAGACCGCAAAAAACTTACCAGCTTCCTTAGCATCAGAATTCTCTTCGATGATGGTGATGATTGTGTCCACAATGGCTTTCTTGTAGTCAAACCCTCCCTGAAATGATCAAACATAATGTGGACTTGCGGTGGCTGTAAAGACAAACGGACCAAGGATCCAAATGCATGTACAGGAGGATCTGTTCTACATGTATCTTCTCTCTAAGACAGACTGCGTTTACCAGCTAAATAAACTCTCCAAGAATCCCCTCTGCTTACTCACCGTACACATAATCTGCAGAGCGCTCTTTTTTCACCAGGAAAACGTGTTATAACTGAGTGTCTCCTCTTTTGAGCATATTTTTGGTATTCTCAAAATGTAGACAAGTCTTTCAAAGCTAACCATAGTTGCAAATTTACTTTCATCAGATTTGCTAATTGTATTTCTAATTGAGAAAGTTTTAGGTTTTCTTTCCAATGAGCATAAAAATGTCTTCATAAACACATCACTTGAACGGTCACTGTATCCAACACTGACAGACCATCCTTCACCTGACCATTACTTAGTCACAAGGAGGTCACATATCAACCTCAGTCAGAGATTTTCAAACAAACCTCATCTCTGAGCATGGATGAAAGGAAGTTCATCATCACGTGATGCTTTCTGGGGAACTTGAGGCACAGGGACCTAAATTAGAAAGACAAAAACATTTTACTGTGTTACACATCTCGCACAAAAGTTCTTTGTCTTTCTTGAAAATAGGGATTGGGCCTAGCTTAACTTCTCTTTATGGATAAAAAAGCCATATAAATTTGCTACACTCCCAACGTGTGGCTCAAGAATGCAGTTGTTAGTAAAGAAAACACCAGCAACAAGAACACGTGGGCAAACACAGAAACCAGGGAAAACCTCAACCAATTCTACATGAAATATTTCTAAGACCCTTAAAATAATTTGAAGTTGAGGATATTCTTCGACATGCAAAACCGACATGAATCATAAACAACACGTGATGCACATTTTGCTTTAGGTGGCTACCAACCTGATAGCATCAACAACAACAATCTTGAATTCATCTGAGATCTCTGACATAAAAGAGGAGATCTGCTTCATTAAGCGATCAACGCTTCCCTCATTTCCAGTCTAGAAACAAATTAGTGACAATCAGTATCAAAAAGCTGGGACTTTCATGCACTATTACCCGTCAATCTTGAATTAAAATGAAAGTTGTTTATCCAAGCAGTTCTACAAACCTTCAGCAGGGTGGTGATAGCCAGCGTAGCAATGCTGCGATTAACATCAGTAATAAGGTTTTCAAGATCCAAGTTGCAGGTTGTGACGGACATAGGTTGGGTCATGGCCACCTTATTCAAAGTGCGCACTGCCGCAAACCTCAGGGTTGGGCGTGGTGAGCTCAGGAACAGCTGTAGAACTGAAAAAAATTGACAGTTTAAAAATCAGTAGAAAAAAATTCTGATTTCTCTTTCCAGAATCACAAAGGAGGGTTTGGCAGCTGAATAGTCTTGAAGAGCAGTCAAGTTTGAAACCCTTTTACCACACTCACCTGAAATTGCTGGACATAGATCTCTGGATTTCAGATTTTTCAGGTTTACAAGAGCACGAGCAGCTTCATAGATCACCATCTGGAAAGAGGATAGAAGTGTTGAATTAAAAAATAGCAGATGTGTTGAAAGCGCAAACAGCCCCCCACCTCCCCTCCCTTAAGAAAATTACTAAACAAGGAGGATGGAGGATGTTACGTGGATGGTGCACATTGACTGGTTGGTGAAGAGGACCAATCGTAGACTGTTTGTCTTAAGGCAGTTGCACAAGTGTGGCGTTCCACCTTAAGACATCGTTGCTATATACTGTGCACTTGTAAGATCTATATTGGAGTACGCATCAGCTGTGTTTGCTGACTTGCTAAAGTACCTGGATAACGCACAGGAAGACGTCCAGAAAAGGGCCCTTTCTATTATATGGCCTGACCTTCCATATGAACATACGCTTGAAAAGGCCGCCATTCAGACCTTGTCGCCGCGCAGCTGCATGCGAATGGTTTATTCGTAAAATTCGCCCAAGC